AAAGCCTATATATTCAATCATTGGTAAAACAATTGTTCAAATTGCTCCAGTAGTTTCGGAGCCTATTCAATACAAATAAACAATCAAATCTTTCATCTTTATAGTATTAGTGCAGATGTAAGTATAATACCTACAGTCTTAATACTAAATAAGTACTAATTATATTTTATGATATTATTGCTATTAAATAGTGAGAACTGTAAAGTAATTTATTTCACTAATGTATCTAATAATACAGTAAGCTGAATTAATTTTTGCCGAAAACATTACTTTTTATTATTATTGTATTATATATATATATAAATACCATATTGTAATAATAGGTATACTTTAAAATTATCAAATAAGCAGGAATAATAATTTAAATTACTGCAATAACTCAAAATTATTATCCTTCATTTAAATTTCTAATTTCTTCCAAAATTTGAACTTTAAAGATTTTATTTTTTCCATAAGGTAAATCTGTTAAAGTTCTAACTTTAAACGCTAATGGAAAATTATTGTTCATTTACATTTAACTTATTTTTTAAAATCATTAATAACAATTACTTGAATTACTTATGAGGTACTTTATGTATCTATTCAATTTTCAAGTTTATAGACTGAACAAAAATTGTATATGATGAATATAAAATGGCAATATATATGTATAAACAACTGGTTAAAATTTAAAGCAATCTGTTTTTTTTCTCTATAGTTACACTAATAAATCAAAATAATTTTGTTGATAACTATGGTTTTCTATTAATTTCGGTAAATTTTAAAGCCGTAGCCATTTTCCTCAAAAAAAAAAAAATAAATAATTCTTAATTGTTTTCCTCCACTTTCCATTTTTCTCTAGTAAATAATAAATAAAATAATAAAATAGTTAATATAAATAATTATTTATGCATATCAAAAAATAAATAATAAATTGATTATAAAATTATATATTTTTTTAAAGATTATAGGACATTTTAGCAACTAATGAATACCTGTTTAATGAAAAAATAATTAGACAAAATATGAATAATTATTTTACTTTTTGTAATTATTACTTGAACTATCGTTTTTTGGATAGACGATATCAGAGGCTATCTTGTCGTATACACTCTGCTACCATCATAGATTGCGGTCTACCTGAAATTACGGCACGCTTGTCGTATATGCGCTCTATTACCTAATTTATCTTTACTATCGTGACTTAAATGGCAATAAATGCTAATAAAGATTATTACTATCTTTTACTGCATATCATTTTTGATCGTGCATTTAGTCATTGACCGACAGTTCTTGGGTTGACACGGTTTTTATTTTCACTTTTAAATATGCTTGCAAAAGAATTTTACACCTTAATTCAAAACAAAGAATCAGCTACTAATTTTTTAATTTCTAAAAATCTTTTAGTTAATGTAGAAAATATATTGTGCGATAAATGCAGTATAGTAAAATGAAGTATTACATAAAAAAAGAACGCGGAAAAGAATGGAAATTTTTGAGGTGTACATGTAAAAGGAAAGAGTGTCAAACCACTTAAAGTATAAGGTAAGGTATTATTTAATATTTCATATATATATAATATTAATTACCTATATATTTAGAAAGAACAATAGTTGTTGGACATACTTGGATAAAAATGGGCGTAATAATAGTGGATTTAGCATTGGAGCACAAATAGAATTAGTTTATTATTGGTGTCAAGATTTAAAACAGTCCACAATTATAACTTTAACCGGTAGATCAGCTCATACACTGTGTGACTGGATGAACTTGTGCCGTGATGTACCCGTCAGAATATTTGAAAACTGCAATAAATTAGGAGTACCCGGAATAGTTATCCTAGTATAGACGAATGTTTGTTACGAGGATCAAGGAAAAATAATAAAGGACGATTTCGACTTGGAGATTTCCCATCTGAAAATCTTAACGTCGATGATGACTCGGAAAATGTTGATTCTCTAGAAAATGGAGCAAGAAATTATGGAAGACAAGCCGATGGACCATGGGTATTTGGTTTGTGCGACAATAACGAAGGAAGATTTTTTGTAATCTAAAAAAGAGACAAGGTTACATTCAGTGGCGTAACTTGGAGTCAATTCTAGGGGGGGGGGGCAAGCAGTAGTTAAACTAAAAATGCATATATATAACTAATCTTAGTTCGCATTGTGCTATTGTGGTAATAACTAATAACCCGCCATGCCATCACTGTCATCTATCTGCAATTCCTTGTATTACGATATGAAGACCCTCGGTTTATAATGATACTATTAATAAATAATAATCTCAAAAGGCACTCAAAAAGTCGAAAAGATAAATCTATTATTATTAATTACTAAACAAACCATTATGCTGTTTAATTTTGATATGATAAAATATAAATTGAATTATAAGTTATAACTTTTAAAGGGGGGCAAAACGATACTATTGCCCCCTCAATAAAATATCTGGAGTGGCAGTTGCCCCCTCTTGCCCCCCCCAGATTACGCCTATGGTTACATTACACAATATTATACAAAGAGAGGTCATTTCTGGGTCTACAATACATTCCGATGGCTGGTCAGGTTATAATGGACTTTCGGATCTCGGGTAAAGTCACAATGTTGTAAATCATAGCGAAAATTTTGTAGATCCAATATCAAAAGCACATACCCAAAGAATAGAAAGTTTGTGGCACCCATTGAGGCAAAGAATTTGTAAAAAATATGTGTGGTACAACTCCAGAATTACTTCCAAGGTATAATATAATAATATAATAAATTATATAAATAAATATAATAATAGTAATAACTATTACAGGTATCTCATTGAAACGTGGTGAAGTTTGAACAAGATTGGCACATTTGACGCGTTTTATACAATACATTATAATTTATAATTTTTTGCAACATTTGATATGGTATAACACTTAACTTGACTCATTGGTTAATTATTTATTTAATTTTACGTGTGTTATTTGACAAAAAGTCCGGATTAATTTTTTGATTGCCGGACAAAAAGTCGGAACACATTTTTAGTGTCGGATAAAAAGTCCAAAAATTCAAAATTGTCTATTCAATTTTCATTTATAATTATAATGTACCTTATATTATATAATATTATTATGAAGGTATATATATAGTATACACATGTAATATTATATATATAGTCAGTTCATATATAATTATTATTTTTATTTAAATTAAAATATATTTATGTACAATGATTGTTAATAACGAGTTAACAATAGCAGAATTTTTAAATAAGATAGGTCATTTCTTAAGAAAACGTAAAGTATATTAAATTATTATTGTATTGGCAAACATAATGCGAAGATATCTGTAAATATATCGTATGGGCGGTACTGGTTTGCGCACAAATACCGAAAAGACAACTTGTTTGGGCACAWAACTAYYACTCGTTTGGGAACAGTTGAACCGTAACCAAGCACATGGTTTGCGCACAGGCACAGTTACCTTTTAGCCTAACCTTTTAGACCTTAATAGTTTAATACCTAGCATATTAATATTTGTTTATTTATAARTAAATTATTAAAGTACTTACATACATTTTCCTTCTCACTTAACAGACTTAGGACTGTTTATGAATATATTCATAGRTATGGTTAAAAATGCATGTTAATACTAGCTTTTTAATAATAATTGTTAATTTATAATATTATGTTAAAAATGCAATACTTGTTTGTGTAAATTTTAATTTTAATATAATATGATTGGTAAACGTGTCTATTATTTTCCTTATAAACAGTTTTCCATTATTTTTATGTAGGTATTTCATCATTTGGTATATTTCGCCAGATCTATATCTTGTCCATAAGTTTATGCGATGTTCGACTGATTCTATTGACTCCTTACTCCTTATTTTCGTGTGCGCAAACCTGTTGTACATTTAATATAACTGCGTGCGCAAACGAGTTCCGATTTTTCAGGTAAAAATTGTAGAATATGTGCGCAAACAAGTTGCAGCCTATCGTATAGGTACCTTTTTTTAAAAATATTATTATTATATTATTATTACTGTAGACTAGATTTTTTTTAGACATACCTATAACTTTTTTTTTAAATATTATTATTATTATATTTGGATCAATTTTTGTATTGACAATTTTTTAAAACATATAACTCATTTTAAATTATTATTTTCATTATAATTATTATCGATGTTTTATAATATGTTAATATATTTGCAATATGTTTCTTAAAAATCATAATCCAGTGGATTTCTGTTGTATTTATATTAAGTATAAGAAATAATAAGAATAAAAAATAAAAATAAAATATATATGTATAAAATATTATAATTAAACAATTATGACAAATTGGACAATTTTGTATTTTCGGACTTTTTGTCCGACATTAAAAATGTGTTCGGACTTTTTGTCCAACTATTTCCATACCGGACTTTTTGTCCTCGGACTTTTTGACCGATTACCTATATGGCTATATTATTCCTATTTAGCTTTATTCCATCTTTAAAATACGTGCGGAACGTAATATAGGTACTACTAAGTACTAATACTTCATCACTGGTTAAAATATTGGAGGATAATAGACAATTTAATGTGAAGGAAACGGTATTTCGTTTTTGGAGGAAAATGGAACCACCCAATTGTAAAAGGTTATATTATCCTTCCCACCGCCATTCAATAATTATGCGACTCTCTCTCTGGAAATACGATAAATAAATAAATAAATAAATCGTATGTCTATACGGGTGCTTAAAATTAATATTGGCTTAGTACTATCAAACATCATTCAGATCTTGTGTAGTTGTATTATTATATAAAGCCATAAAGGTTATACTCGAGTTATTACGAGTATTTGCAGTAATATTAACGTACCTTAATTTTTAATTTTATATACCATTTTTCATAAGTAATTTAACAATAATAAAGATTAGTAAGGGTAGATGCGTAGATGGGTATAATTAAATTATATAATATTACTACTTCAGAAAAGCGAGAAAAAATATCTAACATTTAAAAATATCCAACTCAATTTATATAATACAATTAATGTACAAACCTTTAATGTATCATTATCAATTACTCCTGTCTGTTCTAATCCACCGAACTTTTGTACTAATTTCAAAGCAGTTACCAATTCATCTTTGGCAGTTAATGCTTGGGGACCATCTTGATCCAAATATCCAAATTTTTGCATAAATTTAATCTATTAATTGGTATAAGGAATAAATTATAAATATAAATCTTTTTATTTTTACAACAAAGTAATTTACCATATCTTGATTTTGATATATTTTTTCACTATTGTTCTCTCTAATTGTTCGATTTTGTGATAAAGGTGAACAAGTAATTGTTACGGTAAACCACCAAATACACGTACATAATAGTTTATAATTCATTATTAATTAAAAATAGTTATACTTACTATCAAGTAACCTCTTATAAATAATATTTTGGTACTTAAACAAATAAAATTACAAAATAAACTAGTTGAATTATTATAATTTGATTGCAAGTAATAATAAGAAATAATATTAAAACGTAAATACCTATAGATTATAGGTTAGTTCACTATATCCATATTACAATCAATATACAAATCTATATAATAAATAATAGAATATATTTGGGTCAAACCGATAAGTTTGGGTTTGATAATATAACACATAACCAACTAATTAAATGAAAATATTGGTAACTATATTATATATAAAGACAATATAATTATATAACTATAAAATTCGAGAAATTTTTTTTATTTTACAGACTTATAAATAAAGTTTAATATTTTATTTACACATATTTACCTGGTATTTAACTCGTAGGCATAACTGCATAAGACCAATTTTTTTATATTTTGAAAGGAGATAAGTGTAGGCTCTTGTAGCTCTTAGATTTTTCATTGTTAATCTACGACAAAATGCAGTTCACTATAATATATTCCTCCACTGAGTTTGTATACCACTGCAATGTGTTGAATGTTGAATCATAAAGAAAACAAAATATTTTGAATCCATGATTAAAAAAAWTTTCATTTGTGGTTTGTCATTGAATAAAGGATGTAAAAAAAATAAAAAAGAAAGTCACGCCCGCAAATGTCTCTAAAAAATACAAATGCAAAACAAAATGCAACGCCTCGATAAGTGAGATACTTTTGCAAAATATAAAACTTAATGTATATTTTTACATTTAAGATAATATTCTAAAAGTAATTTGGATAAACCCAGATTTTGAAGGTTGGAAAATTAAAAAGAAAAAATCATAATTTTGGCTATTACAGTAAGTATACGCATATTAACTATAATATTGACCTTATTAATTTCAGAAACAGCACGTGCAAAAAAATAGTGAATGATGAGTGCTGACATATTTTTTAAATTTTATTTTATTCCAGTATAAACTACTTATAAATTATACATTATACTGAACCTTGTATTAAATTTTTAATGTTTTTGACCAAGAATTTTAGATATTGTTATAACTCTAAACTCTAAAACAAATTTCCTTGGACACATGAAATTTTCAAAAAATTTCAACAATTTTTATGTTATTTAAAGACTTTTGAAAATTTACATTTTTTTTAGTTTTTATTCTATAACTGTCAATAAAATTTTATCCGTCTGGTTGAAAAATGTGAAAATGTAATATACAAGGTTCCACGTAATTTGATATAATAGCACATGGAAAATATTAAAAATACAAAGGCACATTTTTTTTAATAACCATTTAAAATTAAAATGTTGATAAAATTTATTTAATTAAAAATTTACAAATGATTTAATTCTAAAAAATGTATTAAATTTTTAAATTGTATAGCCGAGGATTGAAAATTTAAAACAATGTAAGAAGTTAACGTAAGTAGTTAATTCTGGTGTAAAAAAAAATCTAAAAACTATACAAACACAGTTTTTTTATAGTTTAAGTTCAAATTTTGATGAAATTACATATTAATAAACAAGAATAACAATTTTAGACATATTGTTATAATTTAAAAATATTAGTAGACGGTTCTTAAATTTCTAGAGTATACTAATTTATATTCTAATATTAATATTTAATTTCATTATAATGACTTATATTAATACTTAATTACAATTTTAATTATATTATTATTGCAGTTTTAAAATATTATTCGTGGGTACTTTAAATTGGGTGTATACCTACTAAAAACAACTACAGATGCACTGAGTTGTGTGCATAATGAATTTGATTTGATTTATTTTAGATGTATCTACATTTTTTTTATATAAATAGTAACAATTTAATAAATACATATAGTACCTATAACATATCCTAGATTGATAAATAGTCTCCACTCAGAATCTTATTTCGTATATACAAATGATATCAAATTATTATAATATCATTGAATTCAAATTTATACCATCCATTACAATAATAACTCAGTTGCAACATACTGTACAACAGAGCGACATTCACTTATTTACTAAATTTTTTTATTATTGATATTTATATAGAAAAAAAGAAATCAAAATGCCTAATTAAAAAAAAATCAAACTATTTTTTAAATTAAACCATCATGTACAAAAATTGTCAATAGAAAATATTTGTTGAAAATTTCAACTATCTACGGATATTTGTTTTTTGATAAGATACAACATCAAATTTGATTAGGATCGTTATTTTATGTGTAMATTTCTAATATAAATAAATAATTTAACTTCACACCCCTCATACAAAGTTATTACTATCAACGGCTCAACGGCCAACGCTCAAAAGATTCTGGAAAAAAATATTTTTCAATGATTTGAGTTGTTTTTATTATTTATTTTTTTCGTGATGAAGACATGAAGTCATCACCTTTTGGGGAATGTACCTATTGATATTCAAGATTTTAAAGAAAAAGAATTCGATGCGTGTCGACTGAGAATAGTTACGTACCGACTCTCATTAAAGTCTAAACACTCTAAACCCGATACAGGTCGGTACGTATCGCTTGAATATTGAATGTGTAACTTCTTGAACACTCAAAATTAAATCGATACGTATCGATAGTCGATACACTCCAATTTCTTCCTTGAAAATCTTCTTTCTATTTCAGTATCTTTTCTGAATTCTGATAGAAAAATAAATTCATATAATTGGTATTTTAAAGGTTATAGCTATAAGTAAAACAAAAAAATCCAATTACTTTTTAAAAACAGACATTTTTAGCAAAACGGATTTTTGACTAAATGTATTCAAATTTTTTAGTTTAACTTAAAAACTAATAATAACCGTTGATACTTTACGTGTATGCGTATACTATAATCATTTCCATTTTCCATACAAGACAAAATTTTCATTGTTTTAAACTATTTATAGTCATGAAAAAAATCGATGTTTTTTTATCATTGCTGACGATAAATAACTGGTCGTTTCGATCAAAAACTATACACTATATATAATAACTATTACAAGGTTCCACATAACACATAAGTTGACAATAACGTAATTTAATAACAAGTTGAGCGTATATTCACAATAGTTTTTATTATTGTATGAAGTTAGAATTTTGAATAAATTCATAAAAATTACAATAACTTGCAAATTATTTTTCAATTAAAATTCATTAAATATTTTCTTCTTATATTAGCTAACATTTGAAAATAACATAGTAGATCATACTTCTTACGATTTTCTAATAAAAATATTAATAAATTTAACCTAGCCTAATCCTAACTAGTAACCATTGTAAAATCAATACATTCATCACTCAATCATTGAATCTAAATAACATATTGCTTAAGTTCTAAAATAAAAAGGAATTGATTTACCAAAGACATATTTTTCTTAGAAACCAAGAGACATGTGTGAGACAATAATTAAAGGTCTTAAAATGTTTTATTATAAAATTTAAAACATATTATATTTGTTTTCAACTAAAACAAGTTTTGAACAATGCTATGTTATATATGCATTAATTATACTATATAAGCCTCTTACAATTGTAATTAATATTATATTTTTTTTTTTTTACCAAGGAAGTACTTTCCCTTCAAAATCATAAAATCCACCATTGTGGGATTCGTTGATATTCTTCAAGAAGTGGCAGATTCCTGTAACAGATTGTTCAACTTCAAGTGGTGCACTTGCACCACCCATCGCAGTTTTAACCCATCCAGGATGAATACTAACTGCCAATATCCCGTTATTCTTAAGATCAATACTCAGTGATTTTGTTGCAACATTTATGGCAGTCTAAAACCACATAATAGGTATGTATAACTATTAAGGGTTACAAAATTAAAGATTTCTTTTAAATACCAATACTACCTATATAAAATTGACAACGTAATGTAATTTGTTTTATGGTTAAAAAATAATAAGAAGAAGGATGTATAGGAATTAACATCAGCGTGCCAAAGATATTTGGTCAAATTATAATAATATATTAATGTATAATATACTTAAGATGAGGTATTCTAAGTGTTGTTTAGAAATTCAATGCAACTTATAATGTTGAGTCTCAGTACACTATTTTTTTTCTATATATAATGATATATATAATAATAGAATAATAGTAGTCATACATTACCTTGCTTGTTCTATATGGATAAAAACCACCTTGATCATTTTTAGTGATGGAACCCAAAATTGAACTCATATTAACAATTACAGCTCTATATACTCCAGTGGCAGATTTATCTTTTTCTGACGCGGTTTTTAATAATGGTAATAATGCCTAAAAAAGTTAGCGAATTATGTCACAAGAATTTAAACATTTTAATTTGAATGAAATGTATTAAATGATTAAATGTATTCATTATTTTACCTGTGTTAACATTATAGGACCAATGGTATTTATTTTGAAATGGTTTAATAAATCTTCAGATTTTACTAAGCCAATTCTAGTAAATTTAGATGATATTCCAGCATTGTTAATTAGGACATTAAGACCTTTATCTTTAACAATATTTGAAACTTGCGAAGCCAAATTAAAGAATGATCCATGATCAATTAGATCTACAAATATAAATAGTAACAAGTAGTTAAAAGATATTAAGAGTTATTTGTATCATATTATGAAATTTATATATTATCAATTAATTAATCACAAAAAACGTAATTTAAAAAGTATAGATAATGGTAGAATTTTAGATCAATTATTAAATTATTTATTATTATTTAAAATCGCTTGGTACAAATATTTGATGACAAATTGTGAATTGTAATATCAATACCATAGACCTATAGGAATAGGTCTATTATCTAGAGTTTAAATTATACATTAAAAAATCAAAAATCCAAAGTTAAAGAAAAATATTTGTATCATTCATAAAATTTTCCTACAAGACCCTTTCCTAACAAAATATGGTATCTCATTTATTATTATTATTATTTGTAGTATTCTTTACTAAATTCAGTAACAGTTGTACATTGTTATATACCTAACCAACCAAGCCAACCAAGCATCTTATGTATCCCTCCATTTATTATGTTAATTGTAAAAATATTTTATACAAATTGTAAAAATTAAAATAAATATGAAAAAAAAAATATAAGCGACCCGGAGTGATTTTCAAAAATTATGTTGGCCCTTTCTAAATCCTTGGTGAGGAACGCTGATATATACAATACATTTTGTTGTTTCACACATTGTAGTGTGTTGACAGTATATGACAAGTCTAATATCAAAATTATTAATTATCAAATTTGGGTATTCATGTATTTGTCATGTAAAACTACCATGAATAAATTCATCATTATTGGTACCATATGTAATATGTATAGGATATAGTTGTTCCAGGTCCCTATGTGTTCATATACCAATTGGAATTCATCGTAGTAAACGCTTTTGCTGGTTTAGGATGTGACACAAACACATTTCTAACAAACTAAAATATGTATACATAAATGAGGACTTAAAATCTAGTTGAGTAACATTTAGTCTTAAAATAATTTTGAGTTATACGCCAATTACCATCAATAATTTGTATAATTTAATACATGTTAAGCCAAATACTATATTACTGCAAAACTTTTTTGTAAATTGAGGAAATAGCTTCACTAATTAATACTTTACATTATTATTAGTATTCACTATAGTACAAAATTAAAAAAAATATATATGTAACAATGTAATTAAATGGTCGTCGTTTAGATCAAGATATTAAAAATTCCTACGACCAATAGCGCCCGCAGGAGGATGCCTGGGAACATTTCCTCCTGTCATTTTAGTTAAAATTGATAGTTTTATAACATATAAAAACAAAAAGTATTTGTTGTATTATTATAAGTTTCTCGAGTGCGTTCAGAATAAAGATATTCACAGCATAGGGCCAAAGAAAAAATAGTCATACTTTGACGTAGCTCAAGTGCGAACTATTTCATTTAGAGTCACCCACGGTAAACCATAAGGGGTCAAACATTTGATGATATAATGTAATAAATTATTTTAGCTTACACCCATTTTTAAAATGACGGGTGAGTGAAGATACTTATATTATTAATCACCTATAATTTTATATTTATTCTTTTAGTTATAAAGAAAGCTAGAAAAGAAAAGTAAAAGAAAAAGTGAGGTTTTTTTATACAAAACAAGTTTTTGAAAAATCAATTTTGCTGTTTAGTGTAACTCTAACATAACCTAACATACAGATACATGAAATTTTCACTTATAAGATGATGTCAGCACCATTTAGCAGAATCACCTCTATGTTTTTACTTTTAATATTAGAGTGATTTCACATATGATCAAACTATAAGCTTAAGATCTTATCTGTTTCCCCACATTGACTTTTTAAAATATTTTAATTTTTACATAATTTATAGGCAGTGTTGTAAAAAATACTTTTCAAATACAAAACAAAAAAATCAATTTAATTCTGAATCATTCATAATATATTAATATATAATATTAATCGAACATTTGTGTGTTGCATTTTAAGAACATAATTTGTTCGAAATGCTTATCAGTCATATTAGTTCATTTTTTGGTGATTGTTGCACCACCAACACTAAACACTCTCTCTACTGACGCACTGCTAGGTAGTAGGTACCGATAACGTATTAACGTACCGTTGCGAATTAACAGACGGTTTCTCGAAGTAAAACATATTTAGTTAGGCTATTAATAGACGAAAACTAAAACCGATATCGAATTGTTCATAAATGATAAAATAATATTATTATAACATTATTATTATTTGACAATGAATAAAGAATTAAAGGAATAAAAAAAGTATTCAATAAAATAGTATTCAATACTAAAAAAATGTATTTAAAATACCGTTCAAACACTTCAAAAATAAAAGTATTTTAAAAAGTATTCAATACSTAAAAAAGTATTTGAATACTTTTATTCAAATACTTTACAACACTGTTTATAGGCATATTTAATTTATAATTATTTATATGCTTATAATTCATATACAAATTATATTTTGTATACTTCAGGTGCAATCATAATCAGACGAGTTACACAAATTATGTATGCATTTTTATTTCACACATAATTTTTCTCTATATAGTTGATTAAGATAAGTTATAAGTACATAAACTTGTAAAGACAAAGTTTTATCATTTCTGTATTCTATTTTCAAGTCAATTAGGGTAGCCACTTTACTACAAGTACCTACTGAGCATAATTGAAACTTAATTTACTGTAATTTTTCCTAGGTTTAGAAATTAAAATATTAAGTGACTATATACAATGAGTTTATACTTGCACAATACTTTATAATTTATAAGGTATTGGGCTGCCTTAGTGCCCTATAGACCTGTATTATTAAAAAAATATTGAATAAAATAAATAGGTGGAAATGTGGAATATACTATATATTTAATATTTTAATTACATACCTGCTTCCAGAATATGAAGTTGTGGATTCTTTTTCAATTCCATTAATTCCTGAAAAATTGTTTTATAATTTTTATGTATTTCAATATGTCTCAATGTAAACTAATAACAGATATTTTGTGACATATTAACATTCAATGAAAAAATTAGTGACCTTCTATTAAAAAGTCATGTATTTATAAATAATAATACCAACCATCTAAGTAATATCTAATTTTTGATAAAACAAACCTATTACAATAAATAAATTAAAATTAGTAATCATTAAAAAAAACTTGTAACTATTCAGACTTAAGAAACCTTAAAAAAAAAAAATTTATAATAATATAAATAATAATGTATRTGTATGTTATGTTCAAACCTTTGAAACAAGAAAAAGAGAAGGAGGAATCACATAAATCTAAAGGAAATCTTAGGTTACAATCAAACTTATCAAAATACAAGGGTAACATTTTTTCAAATAAGAGTTTAAATGAAAATACATTCAAAATAACTGAAGTAAAAATGTTTAAAATGACAAAAGATGATCCAGGAACTATTTATTTTAAAAACTCATATGAGCAGATGGAATTTGATTCTATAAGTATCAAAACTAAGAAAACAAGGAAAAATAGTTATCAATTTCAAAATAATAATATTATAGAATTAAAAAAAGCATATGATGTGAAGCCTGGTATTACTGAAGCAAAAAAGTGGATTATTATCTTTAATTTAAAAAAAATGTGTTCCTAACTAATAATATGACTTTTATAATAACTTATAAGCCTGATTACTATTAGTTATTTTTATATTAAATCATAATAAATAATTTGTAAAGGTTTTTATATTATTTTTTTAAAAATGTACAATGTTGTTAATGTTTTAATTTTTAGTATACTTAATAAGAAAAGTTTAATGTTACTAATTTTGTAATAATTTAGAAGACTGTTTATGATTTAGTTTTTGTTATATTCAATAAGAAAAGTTGTATATTACTCATTTTTTAATTAATTAGAAGACTGTTTATAATATTGGTTTAGTTATAGGCAATAAGAAAAAAAATATTATGTTACTGTTTGTTATAAATTTATAATATTTTATAATTTGTTTCAATTTTTTAAATTCAATATCAAAAGAATAAATTATATTATCTAGCTTTAAATTGTTTAACATATTATGCACAATCACAAAATGTGATTTATTTTAATTTTTAAATAAATATCAAAATGATAAAATAACAAATTACTCAAGTATATTATAATGTTATAAGTATACAAAATAATATGTTAGTTATACAAATTAATTAGATAATATAATAATAACTAGTAATAATAATAATATATCTAATCAATTTTTGAGTTTTTTGGAACTTTATTATCGTTTTTTATTTCAATATTATGGTTTATTTAAAAAAAAAATGTTTAATCCACTCTCCACTACACTACAAAAGCAAATTATTGAATATTGTATTGTAATCTTTATTCTAAACCCCAAACATCATGAAAAACAATATATAATTTGTCATGGCAAATATCCATTATCCAATAATGAAAATTCGCGGGTAAATGTTTAAAGATAACATTGATAATAAATAAAATTGTTTTTGGCCGCAGGAACGCTAGCTACTATTCTCACACAGGCCATCAGCTGTTTATATACGAGAATCTTTGGGCATCATTTGGTTTCGTAACCTGTTTATCTTAAGCCATGATCTATAGCCTATATATAACCTTGAGTTCTATTCTGTGATATTATTATGACATTACGCTGGTCGCCGGCAGTCAGCAGTACAAAATTAATTTTTTATTTCACAAAAATTATAAAAATCAAGAAATCCTGACCTAACCTAAACATTTTTAAAACCATTATTAGTTTCTTCCATGTAAATATTTAGTTCCATGATATCATTAGATAAGCATGATGAATACCGAATTGCATTACATTAGGTAATATTATGTACGATATTTCCTTATTCATCATATTATAAACGTTTTTGTTATTGTGAATTTATGATCATTAGTAACTAGTAAGTTTGACTGCTAACTCGTAAGTGGTGACTACTGACAACTGTATAGTAGCTATTTGATTCTAAGGTTATTTGTAAATTTGCTTTAATTTTTAAATTTTGATCAGTTTAATACAAAAAGTTAATTTTACTTATTACAATATCAATTTTAATACTTCGAAGTACAATATTTTAAAATGGCTCCCGTCATACCTAGTGAGTATATAATTACCTTGGCTTTTCCCATATCTCTGCATGTCGCAAATACGTTTTCCACATTAAACGAATGATTTGCAAGTAAATGTTTCACCAATCCTAGTCCTATTCCTCTATTTGCACCAGTAACTAATACGGAACACATTTTGTTTAAGTCAATCGAACTTTCTAAGTATGCACTATAACTATAAAAAAAAAATTATAACCATAGAATTGAAACCATTCCGAACCATGTTTACAGATAAAGGATTTAGCTCTTTTTTTTTTTTTTGTTTAAGCCAAACACCGCTCCATAACAAAGATGAACATGTTTCTTATCAATCTTACCTATATTTCCTTCGATTTTTATAACTATATATAATGTATCATGTTTAATAATAACTTATTAATTATTACGCAATCAAAAGTTATTGAATTACATGATTATATAATTTATTAATTTATGGTTTCATATTTTACTAAAGTTTATAAATATTTTTCAGCGTAATATCAAAAATTGATGTTATAAAATATTTATTTTATTGAAATGTTCTTCATTCGGTCATTATCTTCACGAATTTTTCAAAAAAATGTGATTGTTTGTGAAACATTTACAAACAAAAATTTTTTAAGAAAAATTAGCTTATGTAAATAATTAAACTTATAACTTTAGAGCTTTTATGTTGTATATGGTTACTAATGGTTTATTTATATTAAAATATAACATAATATGAAAATAAATGTAATAATTGTTTTTTCATAATTTTAGTTTCTTACAAATTATTCTTCTTATGTAATATTTGATTTGCTATGTACACATCACATAGTAAGTATCATGATTACCATGATTACTCAAAATAAATACTTAACTAGACAAATTTTTTCTCATCTATTTGAAATGAACCAACAAAGATCAAGAAGGATGTGAATAGTAGAATTGTAGTACCTACCAAACAATTTTTTTATGCTCACCTAATAAATATTTTTACTATTATTTTAATATATTTTCTACATGAATGATCAACAATAATTGATTCAATTTGTAAAATGCTAGTAAAAACATTGTTTAATATCAATGTAGCTCATGAATTTTATTTTAATTAAATCCTAGAAATTACTATGACTATAAACGACTCATTTTAATAATAATATTGATAAACCACAAATAAATTAAGTTTTTTAGTTAACCATACATAATATGATAGCTTCTTGTTTTATGCCTGTCTTTTTAAATGTTGTTCATATTTATTTTTGTTCTAGGTGGACGGTATGATTTTGATCTTTTAGTAATAGGTGGAGGATCTGGTGGTTTAGCTTGTGCTAAAGAAGCTTCAAGTTTTGGAAAACAAGTCGTAGTCTTAGATTTTGTTATTCCGTCTGAAAAAGGTACCACTTGGGGAATAGGTGGTACTTGTGTCAACGTAGGTTGTATACCTAAAAAACTGATGCATCAAGCATCATTGTTAGGCGAATCAATTCAAGTATGATAAAAAACATATTTAAACTATATTTTTATACTCTTATTATTATGAATTACTTATTTTTGTTAAATTAGGAAGCTCGGAGCTACGGATGGAACATACCGGATCCAATTTCGTTCAATTGGGAATCTTTGGTAGAAGCTGTACAAAATCATATCAAATCAGTTAACTGGGTTACACGTGTACAATTAAGAGACAAGTATTTAAATCTTAATTAATGTTCTTATAATATTAAAAACTAAAATATTATTCAAATTTTAAAACATTTTTAGAAAAATTGAGTATGTTAATGGACATGGTGTGTTTGAAGATGCTCATACTGTTGTAGCAAAGATGAAAAATGGAAAAGAAAGAAGAATAACAGCAAAAGATATTGTAATAGCTGTTGGTGGACGTCCACGTTACCCTGATTTTCCTGGGTGCAAAGAATATTGTATCACTAGTGATGATCTTTTTTCGTTGCCTACATCACCAGGAAATACTTTGGTTATTGGTGCCGGATGTGAGCCAAATATAATATTATTATACTATATTATATATAATTTACTTTTAAATTAACTTTTTAGATATTGGGCTAGAATGTGCAGGATTTCTTAAAGGTTTGGGGTATGAAGCAACTGTTATGGTTCGATCTATGCTTCTTAGAGGTTTTGACAGGGATATGGTAAATTTAGTTCAAGCTGAAATGGAAGATAAAGGTGTTAAATTTCTTATTGGAAAAATACCCGTCAAAGTATCAAAGCAGCCTAATGGCAAGTTATTAGTGGAATGGAAAGGTGGTGATGAAGTAAGTAGAGTTTGAAGTATTTAATTGATACTTGAAATATATTAGTACTTAATTTATTTTAGATTGGACAAGGCGAATTTGATACGGTTCTTGTAGCTACAGGACGCAAAGCTTTATCTGAAGAGTTAAATCCATCTGCTGCTGGATTACAAGTTCATCCTGAGTCTTTTAAATTTGTCACTAATGCTGAACAAACTAATATTCCTAATATATATGCAGTTGGTGATGTATTACATGTATGTATAATTTATAAAATGATGAAACATAACTTATCTGTAGTCAATTCAGCAAGAGACGCTTGGATTTTGCGCATCTTCCCACTATGCTAGACCAAACTGGTTCCTTTTAGCAAAGTGCTGGTAAGGATGTACAGAAGAACTGATTTTGATCAGTCTGCAGTACAATCTCTTGCTGAAAACAGTATAATATGTAATTTTATTATATTAATTTTCAATTTTGGTTAGACTTTAAAGTTGATGTATTGAGAAGATATCAGCGCACAATTTGTTTTCTCTCTCTCTCTCTCTCTCTGGTCCATGCGATACATAAACAAAACAATTTTACGCAGAATCATTTTTTTTATGTTTTTAAATTATCTTAGAATAAAATCAACAATTACCAAAAAAAGATGAAGAATAATATTTTTGAGCGAATGACATCGATATTATATTTTATTGTTATTTGATTTTGTATTCGATTATCATGGTAAGCAAAAAAATGTAAACTTAAATGATATTCAAATTGTTTCAAGACAATATTTAAATAACTCAATGTATCTCCTCATAAACATTATTCTCTATCTTTTTTGATATGAATGATTTTATCCTAAGATAACTTAATAACAAAAAATGATTCTGCATAAATGTGTTTGTTTAATGTTGCATTTGGGCCAGAGAAAGTAAACAAATGAAATGCTGACATTCTCTTCAATTAATTTAAAATTTTATTATTCTATTTTGATATTTTTTGTACTATAATATAAGTTGATAAAAATAAAAATAAATTCAAACCACTCTGATAAGTTATATTATTATTTTGTTCAAATTAATTATTTAGTCGGTTTTAAAATTTTAGGAAAGACCTGAACTAACACCAGTAGCAATTCAAGCGGGTAAATTATTGGCTGGACGATTATATAATGGTATCCAAGAACAAATGGATTATGATAATGTAGCTACAACTGTTTTCTCCCCTCTTGAGTATGGTTGTGTCGGTCTTACAGAAGAAGAAGCAATTAATAGATATACTGAGAATGAAATTGAAGTAAGTACCATTATTTTGATCTCATGATGAATAAAAAATCCTGATGCATGTAAATGTCAATAATTATGATGAGTTATTACTTTAATTTAATTACATTATAATACAGAGCAACAAATTGATTGAGACCGCAATATATCCATACACCATCTATTATTTTATCAACTGTCGATAACAATAATAATTTCCTTTTTTTTTTTTTGGTGATTGAACCGTAGTGCTACGAGGGGGTACTTCATCTTTGCAGGCAGTTCTTCTTCTCATATCCACATAATTTATTAAGAACAAAGCAAATAATATTCTACAATGAATAAAGAGTTCTATCTCTTTTAGCTTTACCTTTGGCGCACATTTTGCTTAACTTATAATTAAATAGTAGCTGCCTTTCACGTTCCACTTCCTCTCGCTTTGAAAGCACTTGGTGAAACCTCTTCACCAAATCCCAGTTGCATAATACTATTTTAATTATTTTGACTTTCAACCCTTTTAATCTTTTAATGATAATAATTTTGTGTTATGATGTTCAAGTGTTCCATTTAATGTTATTGGATTTTGTGGTTTCCAGAAGTTTTAAATATAATGAGTTATATTTTTTTATTATTATTCTATGTAATATTCTGACCCCCTCCCATTAAATAAATGGTTTCTCATTAAAAGAAATGATAAAATTATTGATAAGTATTATTATATGTTTCATTTCTTTATTGTTGTCTGTCCTTACAATATATTTTTAACATGAGCTTTTTTTTTCATTTATTCTGTGTAGTTTATAATTATAATTATTTAATTATATTTGTTTTTAGGTGTATCATGCATATTATAAGCCTACTGAGTTTTTTATACCCCAGAAAAATGTTAAACATTGTTATTTAAAAGTGATAACGCTTTTGAAGGCACCACAAAAAGTTTTGGGCATGCATTTTATTGGGCCTCAGGCTGGTGAAGTAATACAAGGATATGCTGCAGCTATAAAGTATTTAATCATATATTCAAATATGTATAAAAATAATTTTTTTAAATTATATGTTTGTTTTTTATAGGGCTGGATTAACCTATCAACATTTAAAGGATACTGTTGGAATTCATCCTACAGTGTCTGAAGAATTTACTAGAGTGGCCATCACTAAACGGTCAGGTGATGACCCTACTCCACAAAGTTGTTGTAGTTAAACTTATATCTTTTATAAAGTAAAAAACAATCAATATTTTTTTTTTTAAATAAATCAATTAATCGTCTAATTTATTCATGTGGTGTAAAGGTATTAATTATTCTATAAGTATAATATTAATTCAATGTTTCTTTGGAATTAAAAATTAATCATTTTAATAATTGGTTATTAAATATGCTTACCTCTGTTCTTAAAACACATATTTTTATTCTTATTAAAATTTCAAATTATATAATAAATTGATCGATAGTTAAATATTCAAAGTTATTTAGGTGCTCCACCTACATGTATGTTTCAGTCTTGCAAGCGCATAATRTATTGTATGTTCTAAATAATCATTTGAACTATTATATTAAATACTATATTAAATTGATCTATTAGAGAATTATAAAGTAATATAATTTGATGGATCTTGGAGGTTTTTTTTTTATGTTACGCATTCGTAAGACAAAAATTCAAGAAAGCGTTGTGTCTTCTCACATATATATTATATTTATTGTTCAATTGTTATAACATTGATTTGGAAACCTTTTATTTGACAAAAATCCCATATTATAATATAATTTCACATAAGTATACACTACGAAAATATTTAACTTATTACTATATTATTAATTAACAACTGTATACTCGTAGTTTGTTGTAAATGTGAGCCATGAATTATATGTACACACACTATCTTTTAGATAGAGACCCATTTGATGGAGAAAAATATTGAATTTCTTATATAATTATGTCAAGCAAAACTTCAGAATGTTATTTGTTTTCATTTGACATTTAAAAATAATATTATTACTTAATAATAAGAAATTACTTGTGTAACAAATACCTTTTTAGAATTAACAAATTAGTTCCAAGCTTTATTTAACTTAAACCAGTGCCGTATTTACCAGTAAACACTATAAGCTTGTGCTTAGGGCGGCAAATAATTTTTAATATTACATTTTTACTAAAATAAATGCAAATGATTATAAAATGTTTTTAGACCAACGGGATTGTGGTAATATTTATATTTTATGTTTTTCAATTTCATAATCATAGCGTTTATGGCTCTATTATATACCATTGCTGCATTATTTGTAAATTTTTCGTTATCGTGTTGTAAACAAGTGGATTCGACGAATCGTTGTCGACAATCGTAAAATAAGTTATTTATATAACATGGGTTAATAGCACAAGAGCTTCAAAAAGTAAACATAGATTTAGGGATAGTTGTCAAACTCTATAAATCATTAATTAACTTCATAACATCTATTCGAAATGATAAATGTTTTAATGAATATGTAATTTTGGCAAAAAAAATAAAGAGTGAAGAGTACGAGTTTGATAAAGTAAGGTCTAAAAAACGCTAACTTTAAGCAGACGAGACAAGAGAAAATGAAGTTCATATAACTGGAAGTGATGTTAAGAATAGAAACATATTTTACCATACTGGACTGAGTGAAGAGTGAACTTGAAAAAAGATGCGCTGCTTATACATTTGACAAATATGACTTTTTGACTAATTTAATACTACTTTCACCAGATGAAATAACTCAAAAAGCTGATAAGCTTCAAGAATTTTATAGCGATGATTTAGAAAAATCATTCGCTTGTGAATGTGTTCATTTTTGAGCATATCTTCAAAGTATTAATACAAATATTGATGTAGTTATCGAATTATCAATACACTTACGCGGTAATAATTTAGATAGTTTTTCCTAACGTAGATATTGCTCTACGTATGCTTTTATGTATGGCAATAACTAATTGTTCAGCCGAGAGGTCTTTTTCTACATTAAAACGTGTAAAAAATTATTTGAGAGCAAGTATGGAAGGAGATAAACTAAATTCATTGAGTTTATTGGCAATTGAAACTGAATTAGTGAACAAAATGGACTTTGATGCCATAATAGATGATTTTCGACTCAAAAGTCGCGCAGAAAGCCGATGAGTACTAGACATTAACTATTTAATTTTGAATATAAAAATTAACTATTTAAGTATTTATTACTACCATCATTATTATATTTTATATCATAATTTTTATAATTAAATTTTTTATATGAATGTATATGTATGCATTTTTATAACAGCTGTATATTTTTATTTTTCATCATTAAAATTTTAAGTAATAAAGAAAAAAACAATAATTGTATGATTTAATAACATTTTTTAGACTAGAAAAATATTTATATTAAAAGGCGACAATTTATTTTGTGCTTAAGGCGGCACAATGGTTAAATACGGCACTGACTAAAACCATTAACAAATAATAATAATAATATTATTTTATTGATCAATATTGATCTAAATATATACAAGTTTATGTGGCAATTAAAATATATATACAGCCATATAAGTAACAAAAACAATGTTTATTAATGATAATACTATGCACTTATGAAATATTCATACACCAATAGTCCATTATTAAAAAATTATAATTCATAAAAATATATTGTAATTATATGAAAATCTAACAATAACAATATTTTTTTTTTAATGGAGTGTCCAAAAATATTATTCTTAGTAGTACATATAAATCACACCGAAGAACTTATGTTGTAAATATTTTAGAAAATTGTAACTTTTACCATTCATTTTTTAGTTTTTTTGATTTTAATCCATTCGTCAATTTGATTTTTCAATTCTGTATTTGTAACAACCATATCCATAGTCAAATGAGAACGGTTAAATGGATCGGTCTGATCGCTTAATAAATGTCTAATTAAAAATTAAATAAATTAATCAGCTCTTAGTAAAGGAAGCAAATATACTTTATACCTTGCTATAGTAGATCGGTCAACATTAATTTTACTTGAAGGCAAAATAACAGGATCTATCATGAGAGTAGACATAATAGGATCTAAAAAGTTTTCAGGGGCTTCTGAAAGTAATAACTCTTCATCGTTACTTTGTTGTATAGCTAGTTTTGATACTCTTTGCGCAATGTTATTAATTCCAACAATTAATGATGCTCCTCCTATTCTTGCTAAATATCCATAAAAAAACGTGTTAAAGTTTAAACATATAAGGAAATATATACTAACTAAATCTAAATAAAAAAGATTGTTAATTTATGCAAAATAATAATTAATTATTTACTATAATGCAATTTGCAATGAATAACTTATTGTAACATACTGCATATTTAATCCACTTATTACTAGGCTCTAAAGGGATCAGCAAGTAATTTCAAATGGAGTCCAAAAGATTAAATAATAATTAAATGAGTCCCAAGGAAAAAAATATTTGTCGAATCTTTTTTATAATAGTTAAATGAAGACAAAAAAAATTAAGACAATGTCAGCATGTCTTGTTGATGGTCCAGTTTTCTGCCATCCACAGTCCAGATTTGGACTGCGGCCARCCAATTGCCGATTATTGATTATGAAACTGTATATTTTTCTCTATTCATCAGGATACAATTAAAAAAAATTAACAGACTATAGTATAATATAATTATTATATTACAATTGACCTGCTGTGGCTATAGGAAAAAAAACTAGGAAATGTCCATAATAGTAAATTTAAACGGTTGGATAAAATGTAATATGTTTAATACATACCTACTACGTATATGAAATAAATATATATGAATAATAATAATACAATCTGAAGTACCTATATGGAAATATTGTGCACTTTGATTTCTGATGCCCATTAATTATTGATAAATTATTGGGGGTTAGTATTGTGGTAATGGTTCAACCTCATGTGGTGATATCACTTTAATAAAAAGGTAATTTTTACACAAAAATTTTTCTTTAGTTAATAACTATTTTAGGACGCTGTGAGCTAAAAACAAATAAATATGTTCATATATCAACTCTATATAAACTTTCAATATTCGCAACATATTATGAAACTAGCTATTTGTAAATGTTGCATTTACTCGGAAATAAATTTCAAATATTTTATTAAAATACCATCTTATTTATTAATTATTATTACTGAAAAAAAAATTATACCTTAATTAAATGTTATGAAATAAATATTAAGCAAACATATTTGTATTTATTAAACGGCTTCAAACGGATTAAAACTGATATTTATGAAGTTAACTAATTGAAGGTTAATGGTAATTATAAATTAAATATGGTTATGGTTTGATCATTTTTAATAAAAATTAGCTTTTTGCTAGAATGGATAATGGGAACTCATAACTAAAGAGCAGATTATTAGATTCTTAACACTTTCACTGCTCCAGATATATGACCTAAACATTTATACCATTACATCTAATACCCATTTACACCAATAATTAGATCAAATAGATATACACATTTAAATTTGAAAAAAAATTATTTTATGATAGTGTGACAGCAAAAATTTAAAAATATGATTATAATATGCTCTAAAATAATACCTTTAAATATTCTTTAACAGATCAAATATACTTATATTTTTTAATAATTTAAAAATKTGTATACCAATTAGAATAAAAACATATTGTGTGAAATATATAGCATATGATAGCAACTATAAATATATRGTGTTTACATTTTATATCAATTATAAACTTCAAAATAATTATTGCATACCTTCTCCCTGATAAATTATTCAAATTTATTCACATTTGAAATAATAGGACAAATTGAGCAATATCAAATTTAATAACAATTAAGTTATTAAATAATTTCAATCACTTTTCAATTTTGAACAAAAAACAATTTTTTCTATGCCCATAAAAATATTTCTAATAAGAGAAATGAATGAATATAATTTTTTTATGAACAAATAATACAATATATTCTTAAATATGAAATATAAGCTGAATAATTTTTTTTATGCAAAATAAATATTTTTCTACAAATCCACAAAGTCAAATATATGTAAAAACTTAAAACCCAATATCTATTCATTAATATAATTAGTAGAAGGTTAATGTTTTTTTTTTAATGGTAAATTTCTAAAAAATTCAATGATTTAATAGTTTATTTTATTATATTTTAAACTTTTATAGTACCTAAAACGTCCGCAGCCTGTTTGAATAGTAGTGGATTGTATGATCGTCCATCTTTGGAAACAGCTAAACAAAATGCTTCACCATTTTTGCTATCCCCCAAATGTACATATATCATACAAATATTCAAAACTATTTCAGCTGGTTCAAATTTGTATTCTTTCATATCTTTCACCTGTAACAAAAGAATAAATAAACTTCAAAAAAATTTTTTTWAATTTGTTTCTTTTTTTTATTGAATAAGATAATCCAAATTTGACACCAATATTTTTTAGGTTACATTAAATATTTCATAAATTACTAATAGACACTACTATTAATAGACATTATTCAATTAATATAAATGTTTAAAAAAAAATAAAAATAAAATCTATGCCATGTAAATAAAAAAGTACTTACTTTAAAATTTTTTTTTTTTGGTCCAACTAAATGACATAAAAAGTAATTTAACATAGCAGCAAC